GGAAAAGAAGAAGACCGTGCTGGGCGAGGAGATCCGTCATGTGTAAGTGTGGATTGACCATCAGCCCCACTCCGAAATGCTCCGACCGCTGCTCCGGCAATATTCTGTACCCGACGAGGAAGACCCGCCACCGTTGTTATATTCCGCCGTGCTCTTGGCTTGACGTGTTTCTTCTTCTTCTTCTTCTTCTTCTTCTTCTTCTTCTTCTCTCATGCTTCTTATAGAGAAAAGGCATCATCTGCCATGTACTTTAGCTACAACACACAACTTGGCCCCCCCTATCACATCCTCATTGGTACGCTTAGAGGGCTCGAGGCTGCGACTGGCAAGGTGCTGCTTCCATCTTGATCAACTCATCGTTGGGGGCTCACACCTATCGCATAGATACCAACTTCATCAACTTTTCAATCCAGAACAAACTTGATATCATCGAGGTTGGACCTTGCTTGCATGTTTGCCAAGACCTTGGGAGTTGGGCCTTTATGATGCTTCACCTGCCCTTGCCTCTCATTGACCTGGCCCGCCTTTAGGCCTCAATGAATTGCCTGTACGCCAAGACAATCCCCTGCATCACTGACTGGTATGTTACCGTAGCGCGGTTGCATCGTACCCGGTGCCCATCTCCTGCCTACTTTGACAACTGACGCTGTCGTTTTCTCCGCATAGTGTGATGGCAGAATTGGAGAAGCTGGGCCGCAAATACCGCGTGGCTCTTCGGTAGGTCACACCGGCTTTCTTGTTTGGCTTGAACTACCAAGTGATCCATTCATCCCAATGCTGTGCCCACGTCAACAGTATGGCCAAGGATGAACGCTTCAAGCGCCTACCCTGCATGCACAAGGGCACCTATGCCGATGATTGCCTTGTGGAACGCGTTTCACAGGTTGGTGCCAGCAGCTCAGCTGGGAAAGAGTTGCTTGAGCAACTGACAACTTGTTCGAGGCCCTGTCCAGACGGCGTCTCAACCATGCTTTGCCTGTGTCTTCCTAGCACAAGTGCTACATTGTCGCAACCTGCGACCGCGACCTGAAGCGGCGGATACGCAAAGTTCCGGGTGTTCCCATCATGTATATTGCACAGCGCAAGTACACGATCGAGCGCATGCCGGATGCCTTTGGCGGTATGTTTAATGTCCTGCATCTCACCCCCTTCCCCACCTTCTTCTTCCTTGCCTCATGTCGCCAAATTATCTTTGTATCATTGTAACACATAGCCCCCGCCACCAAATGAAGGACGAGGATGTGAATGCTTTGCCAGTAAACCCCAACATCTTGAAGCTAGTGTCACGTGTGAACATTTGCTATTCTTTGTATCATTGCTTCGGTCTATAGGGCGGCTATGTTTGGTTTGGAATCCTCCTGCTGCTCCATACGCTCGTTTGAGGCGACCGTGTCGCCAGATGTCTTTTGCTCTTCACAACGGGCAATATCGCTCAAATCACACTTGTCTTCACCGACAATTGAGTCGGCGCATTGCCTTGCTAACACCCATTCTTTGCGATTTCGCCCTTTATCTTCTCTTTGGTCATCCAAGACCACTACGGTGCTCTTCTACAACCATGCAAGCATTCGGGAAACCTTAAATCTCATATCAATTTGAAAGAGAAAAAAATACTAAGTGATTGCAGATGAAGCGAGCTTGACCAAAGAGAACAAATTCACATTGATGGCAACACGCACCAACGTCAAGCAAACACAATCAATAACACACGAATGGCCGACCTGCGGCCTAGCCCTGTGAAGCAAGGGACAATGGGACACGGAGAAGAAGAAGAAGGGGTAGAAAAACACATGGCCACGCACACGTGAAAGAGGACACCAAATTCCTCAGCCAGCACGAGGAATCGCTCCTCAGCTCAGGCGGTGGTTGACTGCTCGCGGATACGCTGCAGGATGGCTTGGCGGGCCCGACTATCCAGAACCAAGCCACCATCACCCATGCGTGGGCCGGCCGGCGGCTCGGCTTTTCGTGGCGGTGCAGGGTCCTTGCGAAGCCCTGCTTGTGCTTCAGCCTGTCGCTTCTCCTTATGACGGCGCAAGATCTCGTGAGGATCGATGGTCATCATCGTGCTGGGTTCCCGATTCATATTTGGACTTGAATAATCAGTCTTGAGATTCATGGCTAGGACTGTACGCATCCTCGCCTCAGTTTTGACGAGCTTTTGTTCGACGTCATCACGACGCTCTTGAAGCAGCTGCTCGGCACGAGCCAGTCGTGCGCGCTGCAGATCTAACAAGGGCTCTTGGTACGCGCGCACGGCCATGTTGAAGGAGGTGATGGCTGGCGAAGGGACAGTAACAAGCTCGTCGGGTCGTGGCACAGCTTGGAGCTGTGGTCGCCAGAAGACAGGGGGCGGGGGCTTGCTTGCATAGGTCTCCTTCAATAGTACATCACGTTGCTCGCGCCGCATGGCCAGGCGCTCTTGCTGCATTGTGCGATAACGGTGCTGGGGATTGCGCGTTGCCTGCAAATGTATTTCAAAATGTGCCAGAGCGACGCCATGCGCATGAGACTGATCTGACAAATGAAAGCTTGAAAACACACAAGCAAATGAGCGCAAGAGGGATCAGACTAACCTTGCGACCCACGTATTGACGCCAAGCGAGCTGAATCGTAAGGGCGGCAATTTGCTGTCGCTTATCCCGTGGGTTCACCTGCGCGTACACGTGCCAGCGTGCCCACACGCACGACCGTGGCCACCAATGGCACCACACTGAGTCCACCAACTACAACAGTACGCTTTCTAACCTGGAAGAGATGCTTTTGCCGGTTGCGAAGATGCCTACGTACCTTGAAGCTCGGGTGAACGGATTTCGTTGAGGGTCCGACACCGGCAGGGCTAGCCAACCCAAGACCACTAAACAATACAGGCTTGCCAAGTGGACGGTGGGTGGAGGCTTTGATGGGCTTGCTCTGGCGCGGCGTGGTTGGAGCGTCTAAAGCGCGGATGCGCTTGTCAACACGCCAGCGGCGGAAAGCGCGCTGAATCACTTCGGCGGCGCGGATCTTGGCCCGAATATCTTGAACACGAGTGCGTTCTTGTCGAACCTAGCCAATGCACCGAGTGCTCCGCGTGAGGAGGCGCGACGCACCGTAGCCGCATGCGAATGTACGAGAGTTGTCGACTCAGCGTGTTGAGCCAAGGCAAAGAAAAAAAACAAGGCGTTGCCTAAAGAGTGCAGGCATCACCAATGATACAGACCTGCTGCTTGCGGCTCTCTTGGCGTTGCTGGGCCGGCGGTGGGGAGAGGGGTTCGAGCATTGGACGCGCGCTGGTGCCTGGTGTCGGAGAGATGGGCGGCAAATTGCTTGCCTGACGTGACAAGGAGGTGCCCGTGGGAGAGAGCGCACGAGATGGTGTTGCAGAGCGCGAGTTGCTGAGCTGCGGCAGCTTGAGCCCTTTGCTGGCCGTCAATTTGGCATTGACAACCTCGCTGGTCTCATCCTTGGGCTCACTCGAGGAGGCCTCCAAACTCGGTCGACGATGAGCTGCGAGCTCTCGCTCCGTTTGATGGTTCGGCTCAGGTTCGACCTCAAGCTTAGGCTCAGGTTCGGCCAGCGGCTTTGCCTTGACTTGCGACTTGGACTTGCGACGACTGGCCTTGCGACGCGCGGTTGTTGTTGTAGGTGCTACGAGCGTTTTGGGTGGCACCGTCTCTGCGGGAGTGGCCTCTGGTGGCGATGCCACCGGCGGCTCGGGCACCTCAATCTGAGGGGGGGCATGGGACGGACGCTTGTGGTCTTGTTTGGTCTTTGCTGACTCGGGGGCGTGGTGCTTGAGCCACAGCGGCAACAGCATGGCTCGCGATCGATAACCTGCCAAGTAACGGTGAGAGAAAGCAAAGAAATGGCAAATGAGCCGCGAGAAAAGAATAAAAAAAAAAAGGGGGATGTGACATGACAAGATACAAGCTGCGTAGAGCCAGCGGAGACTCTCTTGGTCAATCACAGCACAAAACCACGGCCTTCGCACCTTGAAACCAAGCTTGCACGTGCTCGGCAGCCAGATGGCGGATCTCGTCGGCCGTCAATGCACCGTATGTGCGCAAAACAGCAGACATCTGGGGGGGGGGGGGGGGGGGGGGGGGGGGGGGTTTTAAAAAAAAGGGGGGCTTTTCTTGGGGGGGGCCCTTTAAAAAAAAAAAAAGCGGGGGGGGTTAATTTTTTCCCCCTTTGCCCCCCCCGGTGTTTTTTTCCGGGG